TTCTTTACTGTCTCAGCCACCAGGGAAGCCCTCTGAGGCACTATGGACAGGTACCAAGATGTTGAAATGATTTGATTGTTTATTTATTAACCTCTGCAAAATATTAGAAGAAAAGTCAGTACTTCTGAAGTTGATGGCTCATCAAACAGTGACTCTATGTCAGTTTTCTTTTCCTGCAACCAGCATTACCATTTTATAGGGCTTATAATTTCATCAGTTTCTTCAATTATGTATAATTTCCTTTTCTTAAAAGTGCAGTAAGCCTCCCTGTGAGATGTTTTAATACCAGAGTTCTGTGTTAGAATAAATCCAGTTTACTTTAGTTATTGTAGCGTTTTCATATTGAGTGTTCTTAGAAATAAGGATACATTCATAATTATAATGACATGGTAGATTTTCCTCAATTTTTAAGTACAAAAAGCTACTCCAGATTACAGCACGGTGACGGTGACATCTAGTACTTTACTTACGTATGTGCTATTGATGATTAGAAGTAAGCAGTGTAATGATGGGAGAAGGCAACCGCACCCCACTCCGGTACTCTTGCCTGGAAAATCCATGGGGTCGCAAAGAGTCGGACACGACTGAGCGACCTCACTTTCACTCTTCACTTTCATGCATTGGAGAAGGAAATGTCAACCCACTCCAGTGTTCTTGCCTGGAGAATCCCAGGGATGGGGAGCCTGGTGGGCTGCCGTCTGTGGGATCGCACTGAGTCGGACACGACTGAAGCGACTTAGCAGCAGCAGCAGCAGCAGTGTAATGGTGTGTGTGTGTATGCTCAGCTGCTAACTCATGTCCAACTCTTTAGACCCATGGATTGTAGCCTGCCAGGTTCCTCTGTCCATGGGATTTCCCAGGCAAGAATACTAGAGGGGGTAGCCATTTTCTACTCCTGGGAATCTTTCTGACCAAGGGAACAGAACTGGGTTCCCTGCATTGCAGGTAGATTCTTTACCACTGAGCCACCTGGGAAGCCCCAATGTAATGATAGTTGCAGATTATCTGGCCTGTGGGCATACTAACTATGCTTGGAATGAATCAATACCTTAACAGTATAATTTGAGCTAGAAAAACCATTTTTTTCTTCCTTTATTTTTATGTTTTTTAACACTAAAAAAGATTTTTTATTCGGGTATAGCCAGTTAACAGTGTTGTGATAGTTTCAGGTGAGGGATTCGGCCATACATATATATGTATCCATTTTAATAAAGGCAATCTTTAAATTAATAGAAAATCTTTTAAAAAATGTATTTGTGCCTAGATCATTGATTCCCTGACGCATTCACAGTCCATTCTTCATTGCAGTTTCAGGTTAAGTGACTAGAGGGATTTGAAAGTCACAGTGAGGAGTCACTTTTAAGTAAAAAAGATACTTCATAGTTCATTTTAGGACTTCTTCGGTGGTCTAATGGTTAAGGTTCCACACTTCCACTGCAGGGGGCATGTGTTCCATCCCTAGTCAGGGAAATTCCACATGCCTTGCATTGCAAGAAAGAATAAAAAAGTTCATTTAATATAAGCTAGATCACTAAAAGAGCTATCATTTATTCTAAAGTAAATGCCATCCTAGATTGGGAATACTGTTTTTATTTACTTCTTCATATTAAGTAGAGCTAACCCAAATTTGTTGATTTTTATGACCTGGAAATTTTTCAGCATTGACTTTGTATAGGTGATTATTTAAAGAACCATGCTTTGCTAGATACATATATAACAATTTGTTATCTAGATAGTTGGGCTTCCCAGGTGGGGCAAGTGGTAAAGAACCCACCGGCCAGTGCAGGAGAGGTAAGAGACATGGGTTTGATCCCTGAGTTGGGAAGATCCCCTGGAGGAGAAAATGGCAACCCCTCTAGTATTCTTCCCTGGAGAATCCCATGGACAGAGGAGGTTGGTGGGCTATAGTCCATAGGATCACAAACAGCTGAACATGACTAAAGTGACTTAGCATGCACACAATCAGATGGTTAATAAAACGTAAGAAATTACATACTTCATGTTTCTTACTAGTCTTCTCACAGGAGCAGTAAATATACAAATCTTAATTTTGTGAGGCTGATGATTTTAATTGTTTAGCATTAACATCCTTTTGTCAAATGGGGGCATCATTTGCCTTTCTTAAGTAAGCTGTGTGGCAAGAGTGTTTTCCTTATTAAACTCAAATGATATTGAGGTAAATAATTGTTCTTCTTTCACCTTATTTTATAAGGCTTTTATTTACCTCTATAGCCAGCAACTCTTGCTAGCAATATTTAAAGTCCAGAAAGTTTTAGTAGTTTTCTTTATCAGTTCAGTTCAGTCGCTCAGTGGTGTACAACTCTTTGCGACCCCATGGAATGCAGCATGCCAGGCTTCCCTGTCCATCACCAAATCCTGGAGATTACTCAAACTCATGTCCATTGAGTCGGTGATGCCATCCAACCATCTCATCCTCTCTTGTCCCCTTCTCCTCCTGACTTCAATCTTTCCCAGCATCAGGGTCTTTTCCAGTGAGTCAGTTCTTCCCATCAGGTAGCCAAAGTATAGCATCAGCCCTTCCAATGAATATTCGGATTTCCTTTAGGATGGACTGGTTGGATCTCCTTGCAGTCCAAGGGACTCTCAAGAGACTTCCCCAACAGCACAGTTCAAAAGCATCAATCCTTTGGCGCTCAGCTTTTTTTAATGGTCCAACTCTCACATCCATATATGACTGTTGGAAAAATCATAGCTTTGACTAGATGGACCTTTGTTAGCAAAGTAATGTCTCTGCTTTTTAATATACTGTCTAGGTTTGTCATAGCTTTACTTCCAAGGAGCAAGTGCCTTTAATTTCCTGGCTGCAGTGATTTGGAGCCCAAGAAAATAAAGTGTGTCACTGTTGCCATTGTTTCCCCATCTATTTGCCATGAACTGATGGGACTGGAGGCCATGATCCTAGTTTTTTGAATGTTAAGTTTTAAGCCAGCTTTTCCACTCTCTTCTTTCATCAAGAGGCTCATTAGTTCCTCTTCGCTTTCTGCCATAAGGATGGTGTCTTCTGCATATCTGAGGTTATTGATATTTCTCCCGGCAATCTTGATTCCAGCTTGTGCTTCATCCAGCCTGCCATTTCACATGTTGCAGTCAGCATATAAGTTAAATAAGCAGGATGACAATATACAGCCTTGATGTACTCCTTTCCCAATTTGGAACCAGTCTGTTGTTCCGTGTCTAGTTCTAACTGTTGCTTCTTGACCTGCATACAGATTTGTCAGGAGGCAGGTAAGGTGGTCTAGCATTCCCATCTCTTTCAGAATTTTCCACAGTTTGTTGTGTTCCACACAAAGGCTTTGGCATAGTCAATTAAGCAGAAGTAGATGTTTTTCTGGAACTCTCTCTTTTTCTGTAATCCAACGGATGTTGGCAGCTTGATCTCTGGTTCCTTTGCCTTTTTAAAATCCAGCTTGAACATCTTGAAGCTCATGGTTCACGTACTGTTGAAGCCTTGCTTGGAGAATTTTGAGCATTCCTTTGTTAGTATGTGAGATGAGTGCAAAAGTTACCATCACAAAATGCAATTGTTACCAATGAAAGAAAATGACATTGTTTTAAGAATAATAAGAGCTTAGGATAAAAATCTTATTATGAGTCTTTGTTTTGTTGTCATCATTGTTGTTTTAAGTATCTGAACAAGAGGGGAAGACCAAGTAAATGCTTAAGATTTAAAACACACTTCTTCATACTCCCATGCATCTTTCTGACCTAATAATATTCAAGGTAGTCATCACTAATTAGAAGATGTTTTGAGCAAATCCAAATTGCATACTAATGTGTGCTATTGCTACCAACCCCTGATGTCTGTAATAACTCTAAATCTGTTTTACCATCATTAAATCTAGGTAAGAAGTAGGTTTGAATATGGTTATCACTCCGCTAAAATATATATGATTCAGTTCAGTTCAGTTCAGTTGCTCAGTCATGTCCGATTCTTTGTGACCCCATGGACTGCAGCATGCCAGGCCTCCCTGTCCATCACCAACTCCCGGAGTTTACCCAAACTCATGTCCATTGAGTTGACGATGCCTTCTAACCATCTCATCCTCTGTTGTCCCCTTCTCCTCCTGCCTTCAATCTTTCCCAATATCAGGGTCTTTTCAAATGAGTCAGCTCTTCGCATCAGGTGGCCAAAATATTGGAGTTTCAGCTTCAACATCAGTCCTTCCAGTGAACACCCAGGACTGATTTCCTTTAGGATGGACTGGTTGGATCTCCTTGCGGTCCAAGGGACTCTCAAGAGTCTTCTCCAACACCACAGTTCAAAAGCATCAATTCTTTGGCACTCAGCTTTCTTTATAGTCCAACTCTCACATCCATACATGACCACTAGAAAAACCATAGCCTTGACTAGACAGACCTTTGTTGACAAAATAATGTCTCTGCTTTTTAATATGATTACTGTATTTTGGGGGGGGGGGCTCTCCTTGTGGCTTGTAGGATCTTAGTTCCCTGACCAGGGAATGAACCGGGTACCTGCAATGAAAGCTCCAAGTCCTCACCAGGGAATTCCTGACTACTGTATTTTATAAAACTATTATTTTTATCAATTACTAACAATTTATGCTACAGTTAGACTTCAAAATACATTATTTTTGATCTACTCAGAAAGGAACTACATTTGCACATGGTTGCACTGGGGGAAAAATTTTTTTTAGGATGTTAGAGTTATATAGATATTTAGCCTTAAGTATTTAAATACTTTAATATTTCCATCGGTGTAGCTCTTGGCCTGTTCTTATGTATAAGTTTAAAATCTTGCGTATCTATCTCTCTGTCAGGCAGACACCATAGGCTTCAGCTGAAGATAATAGCTTAAGATTCATGTCTCCTTTCTTAAAGGTTACAGTTGTCTTAAAGTGACAGTTTTGAAGGACCTAAACTGACATCAAAGTATTTAAATGATCAGGTTAGGTCAATTAATGTTAATTTTCATTTTCCAGTAAATTATTTTAATGTTTTCCTCTTTTCCTTTTTTCTAGCCGAGTCCTATACCGAGTCCTGTTTTGGGACGAAAGCCGAATGCTAGTCAGTCGTTACTTGTATGGTGCAAAGAAGTTACAAAAAACTATCGGGGAGTGAAAATCACCAATTTTACTACATCGTGGAGGAATGGTTTATCTTTTTGTGCAATATTACATCACTTTAGACCAGATTTAATGTAAGTAGAAAAACTTTCCATTCCTATAACTATTTTGCTAATAATAGTTCTTTTTAAAAAATAGCATAAAATAATTTGTCATGTGTCCTGAAATACTTGATTTTTTTTATTACCCATATCTCAGAAAAGTTGTTCCATCTTGATACTTAAAAACAATTTTTTCTGTTTTCAAAGAGCTAATTTTTTTCCTTAATCTCATATAAAAAAAAGACTTCAAGTTACTATGAAAACTGTATAAATATTAAAATGAGACAAATAAGCTTGTAGCTTTTATATACTGACAACAAAGAATTACCTCATGATGAATTTGATTGTCAAGACTAGTCGCTGGTCCCCTGCCTTAACTTCTCTTTTAGATGGAAAGCTTCAGACATTGGAACTTGTAATCACTGTTTTTATTTATTTATTTCCTTAATTTTCCACTCTATTAGTTTTGTTGATTGAATTGCTGTGAAATTGCTGGTTACTCTTTGGTGTTACTGAATGTCAGATTTTAAGATTCAGTTTGTTGTAAAAACAGCTGTTTTTATCAATTACTGTCTGTACCTACTGTGCCATTTTCTCCCTCAGTGACTACAAGTCTCTGAATCCTCAAGACATTAAAGAGAACAACAAAAAGGTAAGAATTGCCAAAGGAAAAAAAATGCATAATTTCAATTTTGCCTTCTCTGCAGGCTTTTATTAATTTGGGGAAAGTGAGGTTGTTCTGTGAGGTCCTAACTATAGCTCACAGAAGGTAGTCTGTTTCCTGCAGTTCAAGTAGGATGCATGGTTTACTCTAGTTTGTCATGGCCTTTAAAAATCAGAAATGCCAGCCTGGCATCAGATGATAATAGTGTATATGAGCTTCATTAACTGTTAAATATTTGTTAAAGCATGTTGCTTTTATTTAGCTTTTTAGCAAGATTTAGCTTTTAAAAAGTACACCTCAAACTGTTGTGCTACAAGTTCAGAAAAAGCCGCTGAGAGGGGAGAAAGCAGGAGCCTGATGAGTGTGCAAAAAAGAATGCATGTGTTCCCAGAGGCAACAAGATATGAACACTGGTTCTTTTCTTTATTTTCCACTCCCCCCCCCCACCTTTTCTGGTAAACTGTACAGTTTTTTCCACATAATTAATGTACTGAGGTCAGAGCTTCCCAATTGGTTTGGGGAAAATGTTGATGCTTTCATTCTTGAGAGTAGCTGCTTAGGGCTGGGTGGCTAGGGCTCTTTGGGCCAGCTGACTGTGGCTGCAGGCTGACTTAACTATGTGCCCCCAAAATGCAGCTTAATATTAGTTTTCTGTGTGCGACACACGTGAGACAGGAGGAAGCACCTAACTCAACATACGGCAGGTACTCCTTTAACGTTTTTTTCCTGCTGAATTGAATTCTTCAACTGAAAATTATTGTCTTAGAGCAAGATCTGTGGATAGACTTGAGGGGATCCTCAATCATGGCTTGGGGAAAAAATTTATTTTCTCAATTCTTTAACTGAAATTTAGCATTTTCTTCAATTATGAATTTAGACATACCACTATGAATTTAGTCATAACAAATCACTGTAGTATTAGCTATGCCTGAGACTCTTTCACCTTTAGAATCTCAGATGTTTTCATATCACTTTACAGTTCCAAATAGCTACAACTACCTTTTAAGCTCATCACTTCTTCATAATTGTAACAGTTGGTACATCCATAAAAAGTACATTTATTGTTTCTCAAATTCCATTTTCTAAAATATTTTCAAATATTTATTTTTCAATAATTGGTTTATTTTGTAATCATATGTATTTTATGCCCATTAAAGCTTTATTCTGAGAAGGGGTTCATTGCCCAAAAAATTAATGGGACAAAGTAATTAATAACCTCTAGTTTAGGTTAATGGAGAAGGCAGTGGCACCCCACTCCAGTACTCTTGCCTGGAAAATCCCATGGATGGAGGAGCCTGGTAGGCTGCAGTCCATCAAGTCACTACGAGTTGGATATGACTGAGCGACTTCACTTTCACTTTTCACTTTCACACATTGGAGAAGAAAATGGCAAACCACTCCAGTGTTCTTGCCTAGAGAATCCCAGGGACCGGGGAGCCGGGTGGGCTGCCGTCTATGGGGTCGCACAGGGTCGGACACGACTGAAGTGACTTAGCAGCAGCAGTTTAGGTTAAACGTTTTAATTTACTTTAAATTAAATAATTAAAACCACCAGTGATAAAAAGACTATAAAGGGAAACTTGATAGAAGTTCAATCAACAGATGATAATTTTTTACTTTTGTTGCTCTCTAAAGCCAAAAATTTATATTTCCATTAAAAAAATTCTTGTTTATTTGCAAATGCATGATGCTGGCCTTAGAGAAATACATTTAAAAACAGTTTTTTAAATTGAAATATTCTACCAGAAAAGGTAGTCTTTAAAAGTCAGTATAGTTTTCTTTATAGAAATCATTCTTCAAAATAAGTCATTGTCATGAATTATTTCTTACATGATTTTAAAGAACTTGTGTCTGTTAAAGCCAAATGCCTGTTTTTCATCAGTTAACTTATATGGTTGGGCCCACTGGATCTGTGAATGTGGAATCCTCAGTTACAGAAGGCTAACTGTATTCTCCACCATTTTACATCAGGGACTTGAGCATCCCCAGATTGTGATGTCTACAGAGGGTGTTGGAATCAATCCCCATTAGGAAACAGCTGTTTCCTAAAATAAGACAGTTCTTTACCTGCATTTTCTTGCATTTGAATAAACTCATTTAAATGCAGATAAGATCATTATAAAAGAAAAATTGTTATTTTTTATAAAGTGAAGCTTTCAAGCTACTGCTTAAAATTTTGAAAAACAGTTTTTATTTTACCTAGTTATATATTTTTAAATAGTATGAGGAATCTCATTAGGGCATAAGTTATACTTCTTCATGTTATTTTTTTCAGAAACTTAATAATGATGACCATACCTTGAATTTACATATTGCTACCAAAAAAGTATACCCCATAAAAATTGTTTCTCAAATCTTAAAGGGCAGATCATTATAGCTTTTTGGAAGAATTTTAATTTAGTTGATCCTATTCATTGCACAATTCAGTACATAATTGTTGTTATATTTTCCTTTTCATCACTTTGCAACTTCTTACCTGATATCTACATTGAGTATCAGTTGCTACCTGCAGATTTATTTCCAACTTCACACAGGTCTTCCTGATAACCCCATCTGCCCTTAATTGGACTTAAAAACAGGACAAGAAACAATGCTTGTGTCTTAAGTTCCATGCAGGCAGATGCATAACAACTGGCAGTGACTCCTTACCAATTAAATAACATTTAGCAATGAATAGACAATTTTCTGTGAAAGACCTTTTTTTCTCTCCACACTGACGGCTAAGACAGTAAATGACTGACCTTTGCAGAAGAGGTTAAAGTTCCTTTATAAAGTCCTGACCTCACTTACAAGAAACCTGGTTTGTTTTTAAATGTTTTTTTAAGTGCAATTAGTGTGCATAAAATGAATTGCCACATGAAGCAAAACACCAGCAGGAGATTCCCCACAAGGACGCAAATCATTTTCCCAGGTCTGTAAAAAGTGCTGAATAAACAAGGTATTTACCTGTGACATCTGATCTTAACCAGTATGTGAGTGTTTTAGATAATTGGGAAATGTTTAGAATACTGCCTGTGGTGCTTTTCCTGATGGTCTGCAATTGATGTCTGTCAATCAAGCTGTCAGGACACGTGAGGAAGAAAATGACTTTAATTTTCCTAAAACATGTAAAATAACGAACAGGCCCAAACATGCATACCAACTGAGCCATTCTCTTGAGTCAATATTTTGAGGTATCTGTATTATAAAACATAGTGCTGTGAAAATTGAAGAGGTTTTAATATAACAACTTATTTTTTGTTTTCTTTATTAGTTATTCCATAACATTTATTAAACTACAGGAAGAATACAATACAAAGATTAAATTCCGAGGTAGAAATGCACTTTAACATGTATGTTCAAAAGACTAATGCATTCTGAGTTGTTACATAATTTCCTAAACTTTCTTTTTAGGAAAACTTTGAATTATTATCCTATATCTAGGTTGTTACAAAGACTAGACATTTTACATCCTAAAGCAAGAATATAGCTAGAAAGTCCTTACTTTTTCCAAGAGTATATCTCAGTGTTTAGCCATATTTTTAGTGCTTCCTAGCAACACAATGTTGTTTTCAAGAGTTAGTTCAGCATAGTAATAATTAATTGTAAATTGAGAAACAGCTTTGATTCTTCAAAACTAGAAAAACCTGATGTGCCACAGTCATTTAAAGGCTAACAAAAGTAATACAATGCAGCCTCACATTCTAAACTAGGTTGTCCTACTCAAAACATTTCATTCTTTCCAAAATGGATAGAGTGAAAATGCAGTCACTCTTCTCATCATGAAAATAAATCTTAATTGGGCATTTAAAAAACGTTTCTATGTTTCTAGACTTAAATAGCAGTTATTTGTATTTTATACCAGGCAATCTGAAAGTTAGTTCTTTTGGAATATCAACCCATACTTTATCGTCACAAATCACTGCAATTACATGATCATTGAAAAGAGGTTGATAGGAATAAAACTCCAGATGATTTATTATTTCCTTGTACTTCAGTTTTTTATCGCAAAAATCAATTCTAAGGTTTTATTTTTAATTTTTAACTCTCATTTTTGCTTGTTCTATTTAAACTTTTTTTGAGGCATCATCACCATATAACATTACATCAATTTCAAGTGTACCACATAATAATTTGATATTTATATACACTGTGAAATGCTCACCACAATAAGTCTAGTTAGCATCTATTATTTTGCTGTTTCTGCTGTTTTTAAAATGTGTAGGCTAGTGGTGATGTTTAAAGTTTCTTCTAAAAAGTTAAAATGTATGAATTGTCTTAACTCTTCAATATATCTTCTGTTTTTCTTTCCTCTGAAGGCATATGATGGGTTTGCCAGCATTGGAATTTCGCGACTACTGGAACCTTCTGATATGGTTTTATTAGCAATTCCTGACAAACTGACTGTTATGACCTATCTCTATCAAATAAGGGCACATTTCAGTGGCCAAGAGCTAAATGTTGTTCAAATAGAAGAAAACAGCAGTAAAAGCACGTATAAAGTTGGAAACTATGAAACGGACACAAATAGTTCTGTTGACCAGGAAAAATTCTATGCAGAGCTTAGTGACCTGAAACGGGAGCCTCCACTCCAGCAGCCTCCCAGTGGAGTGGTTGACTTCACATCCCAGGACGAGTCTGTATTTGTAAATGATAGTGGGGTTGGAGAGTCAGAAAGTGAACATCAAACTCCTGATGATCACCTCAGTCCAAACACAGCTTCTCCACACTGTCGCAGGACTAAAAGTGACACAGAACCCCAGAAGTCCCAGCAGAGCTCGGGAAGGACTTCAGGATCCGATGACCCTGGAATTTGTTACAATACAGATTCAAACCACGCACAAGTTTCGTTGGGCAAGAAGAGACTATTGAAAACAGAGACTTTAGAATTAAGTGACTTATACGTCAGTGATAAGAAGAAAGATGTGTCTCCACCCTTTACTTGCGAAGAGTCAGATGAGCAAAAGCTTCAGAATCTAGAAATCAGTGGTACTTTGGAGCAAGAAAAATTAGATAATTCCAGACCCTTAGAATGCAGATCAGATCCTGAATCACCTGTCAAAAAACCAAGTTTATCTCCCACTTCTAAACTTGGATACCTGTACAATAGAGATGCAGACCTTGCAAAGAAAAAACGTACTTCCCTGAGGCAGACAGAGTCTGATTCAGATGCTGATAGACCCACCTTAAATCATGCAGATCATTCTGCAAAAACAGTTCAGGTAAGTGAGAATGATGAATACATAAATGTAGTAAATAGTTATTCTTTTTTTGTTTCTCTTTGTGTTCATGTAGTGGTTTTGTCACTAAGTCATGTCCAACTCTTAAGACCCCATGGATTATAGCTTACCAGGCTCCTCTGTCCATGGGATTTTTTTGTACTCATAGAACACTTTACAAATGACTAAGGATGAAGTATAATTTCCTGATGTAGAAAAAACTGAAATAGACCTGCTTTTCGCTTTATATTTTAAGCCTATAAATAAATCCCAATTTCAAGATTTAAGAATACAGAATGTCAGCTTTTCAAATCAAAATGTTATTAACCTATAAAAACAATATGTTACAGAATAAGTCATATTTCAGTATTCTATTTAGTTAGAATGTCATTCTTGAGATGTGTAATGCCAAATTAAAATATTTCCCATCTATAGCATTTTCTTCAAATATTTTAGTTGCATTGCAGTTGGCATTTTCAGTCCCATCATTACTTCTAGTTAAAAACCCCAGTACATACAAATTTCTCCCCATGAGGGGGATATGGCACAGATTGAACCTTACAGTATTTACCGTAAGGACTTTACTGCTAGGACTTCCATAACTCTGTTGAATAATAGTGGCGAAAGTGGGCGCCCTTGTCTTGTTCCTGATCTTAGGGAGAATGCTTTCAGTTTCTCACCGTTGAAAATAATGTTTGCTGTAGGCTTATCATATATGGCTTTACTATGTTGAGGTAGGTTCCGTCTACGCCTATTTTTGGAGAGTTTTAATCATAAATGGGTGCTGAATTTTGTCAAAGGCTTTTTCTGCATCGATTGAGATGATCGTATGGTTTTTATCTTTCAATTTGTTAATATGATGTATCACATTGATTGATTTGCATATATTGAAGAATCCTTGCATTCCTGGAATAAACCCAACTTGATCATGGTGTATGAGCTTTTTGATGTGTTGCTGAATTATGTTTGCTAAAGTTTTGTTGAGGATTTTTGCATCAATGTTCATCAGTGATATTGGCCTGTAGTTTTCTTTTTTTGTGTTGTCTTTGTCTGGTTTTGGTATAAGGGTGATGGTGGCCTCACAGAATGAATTTGGAAGTATTCCTTCTGCAATGTTTTGAAAGAGTTTTAGAAGGATAGGCATTAGCTCTTCTCTAAATGTTTGATAGAATTCTCCTGTGAAGCCATCTGGTCCTATTTTTTGGGAGATTTTTTTATCACAGCTTCAATTTCAGTGACCAATGGAACAAGATAGAAAGCCCAGAAATAAATCCATGCACCTATGGATACCTTATTTTTGACAAACGAGTGAAGAATATACAATGGAGAAAAGACAAATGGTGCTGGGAAAACTGGACAGCTACATGTAAAAGAATGAAATTAAAACACTTCCTAACACCATACTCAAAGATAAACTCAAAATGGATTAAAGACCTAAGTGTAAGACCAGAAACGATAAAACTCTTAGAGGAAAACATAGGCAGAACACTTGATGACATAAATCAAAGTGAGATCCTCTATGACCCACCTCCTAGAGTAATGGAAATAAAAACAAAAGTAAACAAATGGGACCTGACTTAACTTAAAAGCTTTTGCACAGCAAAGGAAACTATAAGCAAGGTGAAAAGACAGTCCTCAGAATGGGAGAAACTAATAGCAAATGAAAAAAGTGACAAAGGATTAATTTCCACAATATACAAGCAGGTCACACAACTCAATACCAGGGAAACAAACAACCCAATCAAAAAGGGGGTGGGGGGGAGACCTCAACAGATATTTCTCCAAAGAAGACATACAGATGGCTAACAAACACATGAAAAGATGTTCAACATCTCTCATTATTAGAGAAATGCAAATCAAAACCACGATGAGATATCATCTCACACCGGTCAGAATGGCCATCATGAAAAAGTCTACAAACAATAAATGCTGGAGAGGGTGTGGAGAAAAGGGAACACTCTTGCATTGTTGGTGGGAATGTAAATTGATACAACCACTATGGAAGGCGGTATGGAGATTCCTTAATAAACTAGGAATAAAACCTCCATATGACCCAGCAATCCCACTCCTAGGCATATACCCTGAGGAAACCAGGGTTGAAAAAGACACATGTATCCCAGTGTTCATTGCAGCACTATTTACAATAGCTAGAATATGGAAGCAACCTAGATGCCCATCAATGGATGAATGGGTAAAGAAGTTGTGGTACATATACACAATGAAATATTGCTCAGCCATAAAAAGGAACACATTTGAGTCAATTCTGATGAGGTGGATGAACCTATAACTTCTTATACAGAGTGAAGTGAGTCAGAAAGAAAAAGATAAATATCATATTCTAAGGCACATATATGGAATCTAGAAAAATGATTCTGAAGAATTTATTTACAGGGCAACAATGGAGAAACAGACATAGAGAATAGACTTAATGGGCATGGAGAGAGGGGAGGAGAGGTTGAGATGTATGGAAAGAGTAACATGGAAACTTACATTACCGTATGTAAAATAACTAGCCAACAGAAATTTGCTGTATAGCTCAGGAAGCTCAAACAGGGGCTTTGTAGCAGCCTAGAAGGCTGGGAGGGGGAGGGAGATGGGAGGGAGTTTCAAAAGGGCGGGGATATATGAATACCTATAGATGATTCATGTTGAGGTTTGACCAAAAACAAAAAAATTCTGTAAATCAATGATCTTTTAATAAAAAAGTAAATTTTAAAAAATGTGATAGCTCTTCATTTTCTATAAATATTTCATTGTCAGGAATTTAAATAACTGCTGCATAACATTGTAAAGCAAGTATGTGCCAGTTAAAAAAATAAATAGAAAAAGAAAACAAAACTGCTGCCTTAGGTATTTAAAATTTGTCAGTATCCTAATTTGGAAGACATCTTGTTATCAATTATATACAAGTATAAAAATAAAACTGGGAACTTTAAAAACTGTCTTTTCCAGATTATACTGTGATTTGTTGTTCAGTTGCTAAGTTATGTCCTACTCTTTGTGACCCCATGGATTGCAGCATACCAGGTTCCACTGTCCTCCACAGTCTCCCAGAATTTGCTCAAATCCATGTCTATTGAATCAGTGATGCTATCTAACCATCTCATCCTTTGCTGGAGAAGGCAATGGCAACCCACTCCAGTATTCTTGCCTGGAAAATCCTATGGACAGAGGAGCCTGGTAGGCTGCAGTCCATGGGGTCGCAAAGAGTCGGACACGACTGAGCAACTTCACTTTCACTTTTTACTTTCATGCGTTGGAGAAGGAAATGGCAACCCACTCCAGTGTTCTTGCCTGGAGAATCCCAGGGACGGGGGAGCCTGGTGGGCTGCTGTCTATGGGGTTGCACAGAGTCGGACACAACTGAAGTGACTTAGCAGCCGCAGCAGCATCCTCTGCCACCCCCTTCACCTTTTGCTTTCAATCTTTCCCAGCATCAGGGTCTTCTCCAATGAGTCAGCTTTTCACATCAAGTGGCCAAAGTTTTGGGGCTTCAGCTTTAGCAACAGTTCTTCCAAAGAATATTTAGGATTGATTTCCTTTAGGATTGACTTGTTTGATCTCCTTGCAGTCCATGGGACTCTCAAAGAGTCTTTTCCAGCACCAGAATTCAAAAGCATCAATTCTTCAGCACTCAGCCTTCTTTATGATCCAACTCTCATTTCCATACATGGCTACTAGAAAAACCATAGCTTTGACTATATGAACTTTTGTCAACAAAGTGCTGTCTCTGCTTTTTAATATGCTGTCTAGGTTGATCATAGCATTCCTTCCAAGGAGCAAGCATGTTTTAATTTCATGGCTCCTGTCACCACCTGCAGTGATTTTGGAGCCCAAGAAAATAAAATCTGTCACTTCTTCCACTTTTTCCCCTTCTATTTGCCATGAAGTGATGGGACCGGATGTCATGATCTTAGTTTTATGAATGTTGAGTATTAAGTCAGCTTTTTCACTCTCCTCTTTCACCCTCATCAAGAGACTCTTTAGTTCCTCTTCATTGCATATCTACCCTTTACTGTTTCTCCCAGCAATCTTGATTCTAGCTTGTGATTAATCCAGCTCAGCATTTCACATGATGTATTCTTCATAGAAGTTAAATAAGTAGGGTGGCAATATACAGACTTATCATACTCCTTTCCCAACTTAAACCAGTTTTTCCATATCCAGTTCTAACTGTTGCTTCTTGACCCACATACAGATTTCTCAGGAAACAGATAAGGTGGTCTGGTACTCCCACCTCTTAAGAATTTTCCACAGTTTGTTGTGATCCACACAGTCAAAGGCTTTAGCATAGTCAGTGAAGCAGAATTAGATGTTTTTTTGAAACTCCCTTGCTTTCCTCATGATCCAGCAATTGTTAGTTTGATCTCTGGTTCATCTGCCTCTTTGAAAACCAGAACATCTGGAAGTTCTCCTTTCATGTACTGCTTACGCCTATCTTAAGGATTTTGACTATAACCTTGCTAGCATGTGAAGTGAGTGCTGTTGTACAGTAATTTGAATGTTCTTTGGCATTGCCTTTCTTAGGGATTAGAATGAAAACTGACCTTTTCCGGTTCTGTGGCCATTGCTGAGTTTTCCAAATTTGCTGGCTTATTGACTGAAGCACTTCAACAACTTCATCTTTTAGGATTTGAAATAACTCAGCTAGAATTCTGTCACCTTTACTAGCTTTGTTCATAGTAATGCTTCCTAAGGCCCACTTGACTTCCCACTCCAGGATGTTCTGCTCTAGGAGAATGACCACACCATTGTGGTTATCCAGGTCATTAAGACCTTTTCTGTATAGTTCTTATGTGTATTCCTGCCACTTCTTAATCTCTTCTGTTTCTGTTAGATCTTTACCATTTCTGTCCTGTACCATGCCCATCCTTGCATGAAATGTTCCCTTGGTATCTCTGGTTTTCTTAAGGAGATCGCTAGTCTTTCACATTCTGTTGTTTTCCTCTATTTCTTTGCATTGTTCATTGAAGAAAGCCTTCTTGTCTCTCCTTACTGTTCTCTGGAACACTGCATTTAGATGGGTATATCTTTCCCTTTCTTACTTGCCTTTCACTTCACTTATTTCCAGCTATTTTTAAAGCCTCCCCAGACAACCATTTTGCCTTCATGCATTTCTTTTTTTTTTTTGGAATGGTTGTGGTCACTGCCTCCTGTGCAGTGTTATGAACCTTCATCCATAGTTCTTCAGGCACCTTGTCTACCAGATCTAATCCCTTGAATCTATTCTTCACCTCCACTGGATAATCATAAGAGATTTGATTTAGGTCTTACCTGAATGGCCTAGTTATTTTCCCTACCTTCTTCCATTTAAGCCTGAATTTTGCAATAAGGAGCTCACAGTTTGAGCCACAGTCAGCTCCAGGTCTTGTTTTTACTGACTGTGTAGAGCTTCTTCATCTTCAGCGGCAAAGAACATGATCAGTCTGATTTCATTGTTGACCTTCTCGTGATGTCCGTGTGTGGAGTCGTCTCTTGGGTTGTTTGCTATGACCACTGTGTTCTCTTGACAAAATTCTATTAGCCTTTGCCCTGCTTCATTTTCTACTCCAAGGCCAAACTTGCCTGTTATTCCAGATATCTCCTGATTTTCTACTTTTGCATTCCAATCCCTTATGATGAAAAGGACCTCTTTTTCTGTGTGTTAGTTTTAGAAGGTCTTATAGGTGTGCATAGAACGATTCAACTTCAGTTTCTTTGGCATCAGTGGTTGGGCAGACTTGGATTACTATGATGTTGAATGATTTGCCTTGGAAATGACCCAAGATCATTCTCTCATTTTGAGGTTGCAACCAAGTCCTTCATTTCAGACTCTCTTGTTGACTGTGAGGCCTATCCCACTTTTTCTAGTGTTCTTGCCCACAGTAGTAAATATAATGGTCATCTGAATTTAATTTTTCCATTCCCATCCATTTTTTTCACTGATTCTTAAGATGTCCATGTTCACTCTTGCCATCTCTTATTTGGCCATCTCCTGTTTGACCATGTCCCATTCCAATTTACCTTGATTCATGGACCTACTATTCCAGATTCTTATGCAGTATTTTTCTTTACAGCATCGGACTTTACTTTCACCACCAGACAGATCCACAGCTGAGTGTTTTTCCCTCTTTGGTCCAGCTGCTTCATTCTTCCTGGAGCTATTAGTAATTTCCCTCTGCTTTTATTATATTGAACACCTTCCCACCTGGGGGCTCATCTTCCATCATCATATTTTTTTGTCTTTTCATACTGTCCATGGGGTTCTTCAGGCAAGAATACTGGAATGAGTTGCAATTTCCTTCTCCATTTGATCATGTTTTGTCAGAACTCTTCACTATGACCCATTCATCTTGTGTGGCCCTGCATGGCATGGCTCAAAGCTTCACTGAGTTAGGCAAGACCCTTCACCACAACCAGGCTGTGATCCATGAAAGGCATACTGTGATTAACAATGCATATGTGTATGGACCTTGTACCTTGTGAGACTATGTTCTAATAAAAATGTAATTTTAATTAACTGAGTTTTAGCCAGTAAAAATACAGTTTCTGATCAGCATTAGTATATTCTACAGGTAATCTCACAAAACTTTTGATACAATCTTATTCCTGACCTGTATTATTTTGATAGATTGTATAACCATTGATTAGTTTACAAAAGTGTATTACATGGGTTTGACGGGTTTTGTTTGTTTTGGCTTCTAATTCTGTATCTTTGTTTTTAAGCATCGAATGTTATCCAGGCAAGAAGAACTCAAAGAAAGAGCAAGAGTTCTGCTTGAGCAAGCAAGAAGAGATGCAGCTTTAAAGGCAGGGAATAAGCAGCATACCAACGCAGCCACACCACTCTGCAACAGGCAGCTAAGTGATGTAAGGAACATTGGTTAAAAATAATACATTGTTCATTGTAATCATGGGGGGGTAAATAAGAGTAACTTATTTATATTTCTAATAAATTCTTTTTCCACAGACTATGTATACTATGGGTACTTGTTACTTTTATTGAACTGATAAATTCATACTTGCAGGAGCAGTTTGTAATTATTTCTGTACAGCAGTATTAGCTATGAGAAAAAGTAAGATCCTGGATTATAATTTCCACATATATATGAATAATCTGTTTTATGTTAATTTAATTTTATAATTTAGGTGTACTTTGTTTAAGATGGTGTTTTGTCCATGGAAGTTAATTTTGTTGAAAATATTAGAATATAATAATGATGCCTACCATTTATTGAAATACTTAGCATATATTCCAGGCACTATAGTGGATATTTTGCCTAATTTCTATTTTACTTAACCACTTAAGTAGATATTCAAACTCCTTTTAGGTAAGAAAACTGAGGCTGACAGGTAAGATAATTTGTGTAAGGTTGTAGTCAGTGTATGATGAATTCATGATTTGATCCTGAGACTTAATCAGACTCCAGAGTCAATCCTCTTTCTTATCATAGACTACCATCCCTGTGTTAAGCCATATTTTTATACATATTTTTATGTAGTGCCTCACAGATAATAATGAATATATAGTAATAAAAGCCTTAGATTTAGGGAGACATGAACCTCTTCATGAATCTGAAACTTATGATAACCCTGCCCTACCCCCAATTTTACATATACATAAAACTGCATTTTCCTTTTTTTTTTTTTTAATTAAGATTTTTTTTAGGGAAGTTTTAAGTTCACAGCAGAATTGAGAGGAAGGTATAGAGTTTTCCTCTATACTCTCTGTACCCATACATGAATAGCCTTCCTTCTTAATAACACTCCCTGCCAGGGTGGTATATTTGTTAAAACTGATAAATCTACATTGACACATCATTATTACTCAAAGTCTGTAGCTTACATTAGGTTAACTCTTACTGTTATACAGTCTATGAGTTTAGACAAATGCATAATAACATCTGTCCATCTTTATAATAGCATACAGAGAATTTTCACTGTCCTAGGAATCCTTTGCATTTCACCTATTCATCTCTCTCCCCATCCTCAACCTCTGGGAACCTGATAATTTTATTGTCTTCATAATTTTGCCTTTTACAGAATGTTGGTAGTTGAAACCATAGTATATTACCTTTTCTGATATGGCTTCTTTTCACTTAGTAAGATGCATTTAAGGTTCCTCCATGTGTTTTTATGATTTGATAGCTCATTTCTTTTTAATGCTGAATAATACTCCACTGTCTGGATGTACCACAGTTTATTTTTCCATTCACTTACTGTTAGACATCTTGGTTGTAATCAGGAATAAAGCTCCTTGAATCATCTACAAACGGAGAAGGCAATGGCACCCCACTCCAGTACTCTTGCCAGGGAAATCCCATGGACAGAGGAGCCTGGTAAACTACAGCCCATGGGGTTGCTGAGAGTCAGACACAACTGAGCAACTTCACTTTCACGCACTAGAGAAGGAAATGACAACCCACTCCAGTATTCTTGCCTGGAGAATCCCAGGGACGGGAGCCTTGTGGGCTGCCGTCTGTGGGGTCGCACAGAGTCGGACACAACTGACGTGACTTAGCAGCAGCAGCAGTTATCTACAAAGCAGGTTTTTATATGACCTCAAGTTCTCAACTGCCTTGGTTACATTTCAAGGTGCACATTTGCTGGATCTTATGGCAAGAGTGTGTTTGCTTTTATAAGTAACAAAGACAAAAAATACAAAGACACCAAACTGTCTTCCAAAGTAGCTGTACCATTTTTCTTTCCCACCAGCAATTAAATGAGAATTCTTGTGTTTTACTTTGGGTACTGTCAGTGTTCCAGATTTTGGTCATTCTAATAGGTGTGTAGTGGTATCTCATTGCTTTGATTTGCATTTTGCTGAGAATATATAATATGGAACACCTTTTCATGTGCTTATATGCCATATGGAAATCTTTGGAGAGATGTCTGTTAAGGTCATTGATTCATTTTTTAGTCAAGTTATTTGTTTTTTTACTGTTGAGTTTCAAGAGTTCTTTGTTTCTTTTGGATAACAGTCTTTTATCAGATATATCTTTGCAAATATTTTATCCATGCCTGTGGCTTGTCTTCTCATTCTTTCTACATTATCTTTCACAGAGTAGAAATTATAAATTTTAATGAAATCCAGTTTATCCATTATCTCTATCGTGAATCACACCCTTGGTGTTATATCTAAAAAGGCATCACCATACTCAAGGTCATTTAGGTTTTATGTTATCTTCCAGGAGTTTTATAGAATTATGTTTTACATTTAGGGCTGTGATCCATTTTGAGTTAATTCTTGTGAAAGGCGTAAGGTCTGTGTCTAGATTTATTTTTTTGCATGTGCATATCCAGTTGATCTAGCACCATTTGTTGAAAAGATGATCTTTGCTCCACTCTGTTGCTTTTGTTAACTCCTTTCAGATACCAGCTTAATAACCTCTGAGCTTGACCTCCATTTTTCATACTTTTCTTCTTTTTTACTTTCTTTATTGTTATTGTTTTCTTTAAGTGAAGTATAGTTGATTTATAATATTAGCTTCAGATATACAACATAGTGATTCAATATTTTATAGATTACGCTGCATTTAAAATTATTGTGAAATACTGGCTATATTTCTATGCTATACAATATACAGACTTTGAGTCTTTGCACAGTAATGTAATATAAAATCAATATAGTGGGCCACAGTTTTATTTTCAATGAAAAAGAACAGAATATTTAAATGAAATGGGAAAATACCAGAATTTATCACACATCGTAGTATTTTTGTGTGATTTTAGTTACGTGGGTATGTGTGCTTACTGGATCTTGGTACCGGATGTATTTTTAATTGTGGGTCATGATAAAAATGTTTGAGAAACACTAATTTAAATGGCCATTCTAAGGAAGAAATTTTGTAGCTTTTATACCAGTTCTTTCAGTTATATCAGTTTGTTATAACAATTTGTTTCTTTCTAAGGAAGAAATTTTGTAGCTTTTATATCAATTCTTTCAGTTATATCATCTGTTATATCAATTTGTTGGTTCAGTAAAATATTTATTGAGTTGGAACTGAGTGTGGCAATAGAAAAGACTAAGCTTCAGGTCCTCCCTGGTAGTCCAGTGGTTAAGACACCACACTTCCACTGCAGGAGTTGCAAGTTCAATTCCTGGTCAGGGAACTTAAGACCCTACATGCCACAAGGTGTGGCCAAAAGACAAAGATTCTTCCCTCATGGAATTTGCATTTTGGTGAGAAGAGACAGAGAATGATGAATAAATAAATTAACTACAGAGTGTGAAAATGACTGATTTAGTAGACATATTAGAGGATAATTTGAGTAGGTAGGAGTGACTTGAAGAGGGGACATTTGAAGTAAGACTTGATGGTGAGAAGGATCCAGTTAAGTGAAGGGCCAGAGAAAGAATATTCTCTTCAAAAAGAAAGTTATTTTGTTGTTATTATATTTGTGATAAACTTTGTTTCATAGTTGTTTCAGGTTCTAAAAATTATGGAAAATTTATAGCCCTGTATTTTGAAGTATGTTGATTTTAAATTTAGAATACTTGAGATTTAAATGATTGCTTTGCCAAGTAGATTTTAAAAAGCTATTATTTTACCTATGTATAAATTTTACATATATTAATAATTGCTATCTAATGTTTACTGAGCACTTACTGTGTGTCAAGCAGGATTCAAAGTGCTTTCACATGGATTTTCTCATAATCTCCACAACAATTATATGTGTTAAATATAATCTCTGTTTGATAGTTGAGAAAACTGACGCACAAACAAATTCAGTTGCCCATGGTTACACAGCTAAATAAGTGACAGAGCCAAGAATGTAACCTGGACAGTTTGACTTTAGAGATTATGTTTTTAAAGCATTATGTTTTATTTCTTTCTTGTTTATTTTCTGAAATCCTTGTGAAGTAGGAATGGTTATTATTGTTGTAACCATTGTAGAGAAAAATGAGGTAGGAAAGGGGGTTTAAAATTACCTAGGGTTGCAAACAGTAGCAAACTAGGCTTAAAATTCGAGTATCCTGACTTTTAAAGCTGTTTAGTCTTTCATTCAGTTTATTCATTGCTTTAAACTTTAAACAAATATTTTATTGTTCATCTCTTCTTTTTAAGGCGCTAGTAATTTTGCTTACACTTAAATATCCCAAGTAGAACAAACTTTTAGCTAAGTTATGTTAGTATGAATTCAACATCAGGAGTTAATTACTGAAATATTGCTTTTTCTATGTCTGTAATATCTTACTCTACCTGTAAAATCTGTAGCTTGGATTTTTTTAATCTTATTTACCCATTTATTTATTTATTTTTGACTGTGTTGGGTCTTCCTTGCTGTGAGGGTTTTTCTTTAGCTGCGGGCAAAGGGGGCTGCTCTCCATGGCAATGCATGGGCTTCTAATTGGGGTGGCTTCTTTTGCTGTGGAGCACCGGCTAGGGTGAGAGGGCTTCAGGAGTTGCAGCTCCTAGACTCGAGAGCACGGGCTGCAAGCCCGTGAGTTGTGGCTCACCAGCCTAGTGGCTCCGTGGCATGCGGGATCTTCCCAGATTAGTTATCAAACCTGTGTCTCCTGCACTGGCAGGCGGACTCTTTACCACTGAGCCACCAGGGATGCCCTGTAACTTGGATTTTAAGAAACGTGATATGGTAGTGATGTCTCATCAAGTCAAGATACTCTTATTAATACTTCTGGTAGCATGTAACTTGCCACACCCTTCTGAAAAGCAAATTGACTTCTTCAGGAAATGCTCGTTCTATTTTACTCAGTAATCCCACTAACAGAGATTAATATGCAAGTTTTCATCACGTGTTATTTATAATAGTGAAAGTTACAAAATGGCAATCGCTCAAAATGGAAGAATGATCAAATAAATTACAACACATATATATACTTTATATGTATGTAGCCACTGAAAATT